CAGCTCATTAAAGGAACCTAGTATGGAAAGTCTGATGGCTTTGTGCACACTAGGACTTGTAAAGGAGGATGCTACACTTGCAACAGCAGCCCTAAAAGAATTACTGAAGCATGAAAAAGGAAAAGATAAGATCTATGAGAGGTGCCTTATTGCATCTGCTGTTTATGCATTGCAAGGCAGAAATGTGGGGGTCCAGAGAGAAATCTCCAAAGCAATACACAGGTATGTCTTTTGTCTTTCTTTAGATTCCCATGTAAATACATTGTTTTGATTATATTGAATAGTAAGCAAACCTTTGTTCCATTGCAGGATTCTTCTTAAAAAAAATATTTAAAAAAAAATATTGTTTTTCAAACACAGTGTTCTCACTGAAGGTGAGAACATCAGCATCAGCTGCCAGAAGCTTGCTTTCTGATTTATGGGATCAAATGACAAGAGTTTTCATGGCTTATTTTCATGGGTTTTCTGGTTCTGTTTTGGTGGCTCTTTTAGTAGCTAGATCAGTTCACTGTTCTGTGAAAGCATTTTTTATCATATGTAGCAGAAACTTCAGCCTAGAAAAGTCTCAAGGGCTTTTATTTAATAGTAAACAGCCTCTGAAGGTGTTAATTCTGTTGGCTAAATGTCTGTGTTTAAATGCGTTCTAGAAAGGGGGAACTTTTATCAATGCCTTTAAGTATGACACATCTCAGTCTCTCCAAGTGTTTTCAGAAACTCTTCTTTATGCAATTTTTTTTTCTCAGACTGCAGTTAAAATTCCTTGCTCTTCATGCTGTAAGAACAAGACCTTTAGTCCCGAAGTTGTTTTCTTCCCATGAATGTCGATATGCATATTGTACATTTCATTTCTTTAACCAGAAAGGTACTTCAGTGTTGTGGTGTTTGCTGTAAATTACTATCTGTGTCTATTTTCAACCACAGCAGGTTGTTGTCTTAATAGAACAAGATCTATTTGGGAATTACAGCAACTGTATAATGAGTTATGGAAGACCAGGTTCATAGCTAAACCATGAAGTCTAATGTCATTGTTCTTTTCCCAGAAACCCTGATAATCCTGCCCTCTGGTCTCTTCTGTCTCGGCTAGTTCCACTGTATGTGCCACAAAAGACAAAAGTAAGTGCATTGCTTGTGTGTTGTTCACATCCTGAGTAGTCTTGTGTTATTTCTTAGCTGGAAAAACAACACTTTTCAGTACATGGACATTCACTAGTTAATATGAAAACTTAAAGTTTGTATACACAAGCACATACTGAGCAATGCACAGGTATATACTGAAGCCACATACTCAGTTATTTGCATCTTTCATGGGGTGGTGATTCTTTTTCTTCTTGAAGTATAAAGAACTGCTAGAAATAGTCCAACAAGAAAAGGCTCTGCTATGTATGTTTTTTTGTTTAGTTTTATGCATTATGTATGTTTCTATATAAATATATGTTAGGATTTACATATGTTCAATTTGGTTAATCGAGTCAGTTTCACTTCTTGCACTAGCCAGTATTTCCTTGCCACTTTTGTGCTTATTATTAGTTATTCTCCAAATAGATACTTTTTGTCTTAATCTATATCCATTATGGAAACAGAAATATCACCTGAAAACAACTCCCCATCTATGTGAGACTAAAATTATAAGCATAACATACGGTTAAACTCTAATCCTGACTGTCTGTTCCTAGTTTTTTTATACAGAGATCATGCTGTAGGCAAGGAAGAGATGTCATTATGCAGACTTTGTGTTTCTGATTAACAAAGATAAAAAGATCTTGGCATTACATTTTGTATAAAATCTCTTAATCAGTCATATAACCAAGTCAATTATTTTTTTTCTAATTTTGCAGGGGGGAGCTGTAGCTGGAAATGTTGCACATGTACTCGATGTAAACCATGCAAAGGTTCGGCTTTCTAAAAATGCAGACTTTATAAACTCCATAAACAATCCTAAAGTTAATTCCATTTGATCACTTAAAGTGTTAAGTTACTTTTGTGTTGTGTTTTATAGGAAGTCCTGGTGAACGTTGCAGTTAATCAGTTGGCAGCAGGACATCACATGTTAGAAGATGAGAAAAACAATCCTCTGAAAAATATTCAGAAGGCAATCCACCTCTATCCAGGTTACTCTTTTCTCAAACACAGTAGTGATTTTTATTTTTCTATCCATTAGAAACAAAATTATTACGCTAACAAAAAAAAAAATCTACTTTCTTTGGGTTGTTTTATTACAGGTTATCCATGAATGATCTGGGGAGAATGCTTAGAGTTGAAATTTTAAATATCATTCTGAGTTTAGACATGGGGAATTAAAGCAGACAAGAAAAAGAGTTCTAAGGTTTTTTCTGAAAACATGGGCGATTTCTTAATCCCTCAGCAGCAGAAGAGAGAACTATTATTTAGTATATCATGCAGAAAGAAAAATGCATGTTCCCTCAGTCTGTATGCTACAACAAGCAGACGAGATTTATTCATACATCTTGAGAATTTGGATGGGAAATGTTCTCTTGCAGCTTGCTGGTTATGAACTAGAGGCAACTGTTCTCCTATTATGAAATGGTGATCTTCGTTAAATGTAAAAAGTGTGACTGTAGTGGGATTTTCAAGTGCTAATTTGTCTTGACAGTGAAATACCAAACATTATTTCTTCTATTGTAATTTTGATCTGATGCATTAGTGTGGCTGCAAGTTAAAAATTTCAGTTACCTTCCTGCAGGCACACACAAGACTATGACTGCTACTGAAAACCAGTATACTTCGCATTTTGTTTTGTTAAATATTCAAGCTTTGTTTCGTTTTGCTGGCAAAATTCATTACCTTTGGGATGGTAGTTTATCATCCTTAGTTGAGCTCTGTCCAGTTCAGGACAGAGACTGCTGTCCCAAGTCATAGTTGCTGTTCCAGGGGGTAGGTCAGGATAAAGCTGACACTGGCATTAGCTGGCGTAACTGGGAATGGTAAAGACCTTTCTAACTGTACTAACAGCATATTTAGAATGGGCATGAGTTGCCTTTAACCATTCTTTTGTAGATAATCCTGCTGCCTGGGCAGTGCTCATGGCAGCCTGTCATGCTGAAAACACCATTGTCTGTCTAAACAACACTCAGCCAAAGCGAACGGATCTAGAGATGACACTTGTATCTACAGTTTCAGCCAAAAGTAAGCTATAGAAGTTTTCTAGTTTAAAAAAGTAAAATATAATTGAAATGTTCTAAGCTTGTAATATCCTTCTGAATATTGGAAGCTTGCAAACTCAGTAGTAGTTTGAGCTGTATTTTATCATATAAAAATGCTAAATCCTAAGGCACAGCTAGGGTTAATTTCCTAATTGAGGCTTGCTTTCCCCTCCAAAGCCTCAAATGCTTTTTTAAAATAGTAATGCTGAACTGTGATGTCTAAACGGATGGATGGGTGTATTATAGCACAGGAATGCTGCTTACAAGGAAAGGGTAAAGTACTCCTGAGTTCTGTAACTTTTCCAGTAGAGGGATAACCTCAGCCTCAGTCATGCTCAGCATCTGTAGAGATTTTCAAAACCAGAATTAAAAATTCCGTATTTGGTTGGTTGTTCCCAAACTATTAGCCCTAATAGTGTATTCTTTTTTCCCTTCTCTTGCTTTAAATTTTACAGTTTCTAAATGTTGCTACTAACAAAGGAAGCCACATCAGATTAATACTTGTAAAGTTCTCCCTTACCACATCTAGAGCATGTGACATGGTATAGCACTACAGCATATGCGGTAATCTGGTTAAGCATTTTATGTGTTTTTGCAGCTGGAGAAAATAACCTTCCACATCATTATGTCCGGACTCTTGAAAACTGGTGTCTGTGTCAAGCTATTACCAGTCTGGAGGAGACCGGTAAACTCTCAGAAGCTGAAGCCCTTTGTACCAAGGTATGATGTCATGAAACTGTCAGATTGTGGTAGAATTGTATAGAAATAATGATTTGAGTTTATTTTACAAAAAGGTAGTCTTTGAATTAGCAACTCTCTGTTCCATCAGATCTACAAGGTGCCATAGTTGTTGGCATTTTCTCTCCCTCACCAAGATACTTAATCTGTTTGCACTAAAACTGTGTTGTTAGTTGAAACAAGCAGTATATGACATGGCAAAGCTATGTCTGCCCTTCCCACCTTTATTCATTAAGCTAATATTAAGCAAAACATTACAGAAACTCAAGCAAGAAGTCCAGGTAGGAAACTTGCAGGGGACTTAAATGTCTTGTGCTCTATTGTGTTGGTACTCCATTTCAGAGCCACAAGTGGATGCTACAAGTTTAATTATTGAAAAGAAAAATCTTGAGGCAACACAGTTAGGGAAGGAGATTGAACTGTGTGTATTTCATATGTTCATGAACCAAAGACTTGGCAGAAGATAGCAAAAACCCAATTGGACTCCGCAGCACACATCCCTGACTTTCATAATGGAAAATGACTAATCCCGTGCAAACGTGCTTCTTGTTTATGGCATTTCTGTATCAACAGTGAAGGGCGTTAAAACACCAAAACTCCTCCCAGCAGATCCGTTGAACATGCTGATTTTCTGAGATGTTATTTCTTGTCTGTTTGCTTGGTGAGGCGGTGTTTTCCTTTTCTAGGCAGCATGTCTACTCACCTGTCTTAACGGATCAGAGATTTCTAGACATACAAGCTGGTATCTGGGCATGGGGGAAGGTTATGGTGGGTTTGGTTAGTTAAATAGCTTGGGAAGAGGACCGTCAGTGCCTGCAATTTGTGAAGAAACAAGAGTAACATTCTCTGGTACCACAAACTCTCATAGACTGTTTTGACCCCCAGGATTCTCAGAAAGCAGTATAACTGGGGATGATGAGTCAGGCACTGCAGTCGTTCTCTGAGATGAGCAACATGATTCCACGCTTTTTAATGGGGGAAGATTGCAGCAAATACAAATAGCAGTTTCTGTTGTGTTTTCAGAAAGTCTTTGCATGTCTATGCATTCTTCACAAGTAGGACCTTGCTGAGGCCTCACAGACAACATACTGTGTTTAAAAAAAAAGATATGGTTGAAAATTACATGTGTTTCTTAGGATGGATCTGGTTTACATTAAAATTCTTGGAAACACTGTGATTTAAACAGGTAAAATAACATGAATTGTGACTTGCAGAAGCTTCACATGCTTCACCTGAAAAGTCTAAAGCAAAGATGGCTAGTTTTCTGTCTTTGCTTTTTTTGTGCGTGTATTCCAAAAAAGTACTCTATGGGTGTCTGCTGTTATTTAACAGGAAATGTTTAGTAAAGTGCTTGTGTTCCAGTAAGGAAAAAGCACCTTAGCTGGGAGAATTGAAATTGCTTGGAACATACTCAAGGTCACTTTAGCCACAGGACAGGGTTTTGCCTCCATTAGCCCAAAACTTGTAATGATTATGAAACCAAAGGAGAAGTAGAGGTCTGCCATTTACTTTTGTTTCAGAAACCTCTAAGGATAGGACACGTACAAAATTTAGGATGTACTTCAGATGTATTTTGAGGAGAGAATAACATTATCTATTTTCGTGTGTCAATTCCTGGAACACTCCTTTGTGCAGAGTAGGAGGAAAATGCCATGTTGCAAGTATCCTGAACGTGCTATCAATGCAGTATTCTGTAAAGACCAAAATGGAACAAAGTATCTTCTGTTATTTGGAAATGATAATTCTGATACTATGTTGAGCCTTTGTTTTGGTTTTAGGGTTTAAAAAGCTGCCCTGAGCACCCAGCTCTGTTTTTGCTTTTGAGACAAATTCAGTGTAAGCAGCTGTTGGAGTCTCACAAAGAACTTCCAGACAACATCCTGGAGGAGCTTCGCAAGACAGTTATGACCAGTTCAACTTCAGTTGCAGCCTGGCAAGTAAGTGTGGATCCTCTCCTGGACTTTGGTGTGCTGCTCTCAGTAGAGTGTGCACTATAAGTGGGTGAGAGTTTGTTACACTGTTTGCTTTTATTTGTCCACCAACAGCCAGTGACAGGAAAAAACCAGCTCATATTCAGTTAATTATAAAGGTGTAACATTATGTTAACTTTCTTTAATAGCTGAAATAATAACAACCATTAGTAAGAAGCAGCAGATGGGGAGGCAGGAGAATTAAAAACTTGAGATAAACCCCTGGTACCTGTATCTTTAGGGACCTGTGACTTGGCATGTGAGCAGAAACCCATGAAGTATTTCATAACCCATAAGAATATGTGGAAGTAAATAGTTCCCTAATATAGTAATATACAATTCCTTATTCAGCATCTGAAAACCTAAGTAAGTCTCTTTCTCCGTGATCGCCTGACATCAGGTGTCACCATTCGTTTGAGTAGGTTGAGTCTGCCGGGAAGAGAAATCACTCCCAGTACCAGTCTTCACTCGCTCTCTTCCATGGCACTATGAGTGATCATTTTTAGCTAATATGAAGGTGCTGTAACTAACTTCATATGCTCTTCTGTAAGACAACCTGAGAAGTCTGTCTCACACATGCCAAGAGATCTTTCTGGTGATGCAGCATATTTATTTATTTATTTCCTAACTGTTGCTGTTAGTTACAGTTACTATCCTCCTTACCAATGTTAGCAGCACATTACTTAGAAAAATCCCATGTACATTTAGAGTCCTTTATGTAGTTGCAGCATTTATGGTGCTCCCTCTGCCTGTTGAACATATAAACCGCTGTTTGTGGTAAGATTCACTAAAATTGATTTCAGTCTTAAAGGATTAGGGCAAGGCTACTGTAGAGATCTTCATTTCACCTGTTACAAGGCTGCAGATCTCTTCTGGAACACCGGAGAATCATTTGTGGTGCTTTTTGGACGCAGTTTTCTTTGGTTTGAGAGACTTCATCTTTCTGAACTGCAGAAGTCATTCAGACTGGATTTGCAAAGTATGGGAGCATGCAAGGCATGATTGTATTCTCTATTTTAGTATTATATCTTGAAAATGGAATTGGAGGTTATATAAATTGTTCAAGCATCTCTTGCATAGCCAAGTGTCATCTTGTTTACAAGCAGGGTGAATAAGCAAACGGTGGAAGGGTTGTTTTGATTTGGTGTTTAGGGGTTTTCTAATACAGGCCACACATAAGATGCCTCTGAGGAAGATCTTTTCAGTCTTCCAATTAAAGAAGATATTTCTCGGGGTTGGATAGCATTTTAAGAAAGGTCTGGCTTCTGCATCTTTTCCTAATAGATGAATCTGTACTTTTATGTTTTCTGTTTCTAGACTTCCCAAGAGTTTGATACATGTTCTGTTTTACTTAAAGTATCCATCGCAATTCCTTATAGCTTTACTAGGTTAGAGAGTCTTTTTAACTTTTCTTTTGCTTAAGTTTTGGCTTTTGTCTAAACAGTTGTTTTGCAGGATGTAGGAGTGCTGCTGAGCTACTGTTCTGATGTCTCTTATACCTTTTGTACTGTGGCTTACCAGGAAGACATAAAACTGATCTGGCAGAGCTGCCATTATGCCTTTCACAAGGGTTCTTTTCTCCTTTGCATCTTGAGTGTTAGATAACTTCAGCTGCAAAGAATAGAAACCGAAGAAAGCTTTTTTTACTGCACATGAATGGATGTGTTACTTTACAAAGCAGTCCTGCAGCTTGATGTTACAGTCCTACTAGTGCTAATCAATACTTCCTAGTGTGTCTCTTGTTAATGATAAATCACTTTTATACATCAGAAAGGGTTAAGAATTTTGCCCCTTCTAACACCAGACAGTCTTTAGCTAGCAAAAGTCTAAGTACTTTTGCTTAAACACAAGGGAATTGTCTTTCTAATAAGAAATTGTTTGGTGATCCAGCAAATAATATTTCTAAATGTGGCTTGCACATCTTGATGCATATCATGTACATGTCAGGGATTTGCAAACTTGTGATGGCATCTGCTTCAAAAAAATGTGACGTGACTGTAGATTTAAAGAGGGAGGAGTTAGAATCCTTTCCTCCTCTTCATGAGGAAATCAGGACGTCTTGTGCTGGCAGAGCAGGCAGCAGGGGCATGAACTCCGTACAGATCCTGATGCCTACTTCCTTTGCCCCTCCAGAGCTGAGCTGGAAGGTGTGTAGCCCAGAGTCTACACCCATCATGTGAGCACAGGCTCACATTGTAATGTCTTTCATGTTCCTGGCGTTACTTATGTGGGCTGGGAAAACCTACCATGTTCGTGGGTGTTCTAGGGAACTCCAAAATAAGTTACTGTAGTAAGGTGTGCTGCCAGCTCTGCAGCAGACTACATTTCACTGCAGGGTGGTGGGCAGTGTGTTGTTGGAATGAGGGCTGGGGGTGTGGTGGTGTTTTAGCCAATAACATGCTGTGGTACTTTCATAAATTTAAATGATATTACCTAATGGATGTGTATTTTGGTGGCTCCAGAGCTGATTCTGTTGGATGTTTATTTTCAGTGGCTGGCAAATGTGTATCAGTCTCAACGAATGATGGTTGGAGCAGAGATGTGTTACAGAAAGAGTCTGCAGTTGGCATCACAGCAGGGCAGCTGGAACGGGAAGTTATCCAGTCTGCTCAGGCTAGCTATGCTTGCACTGGAAATCTGCATGGTAGGATAATCAAAATTATGTAACTGCATGATTTAACAGGAGTTTGTGGGATGTAGGGCTTCTGCAGTCTTTAAATGTACCTGTTTAACTGACTTTGCATTTTATGAATGACAAGTGGAGGATAAAATAAGACTGCAAGGGGCAGTTCTAGAATGTCTCTTACAAAGAGATGTTGCTGTGAAATAATCACATAGAAACATTGTGTACGTAAAAAGCTAACTTGCTCAATAAGGCTTATTTCTGTAATAACGGATTCGGCTTGACCATCCAAACTGACGTTCCCCTTCAAGTCTCTATCCTTTTGTTCAGACAACTGCCTTAAGATTTTCCCTCTACTGTTGCCTGGAGACTTCAGTCAGGTTTCAAATACCTCATGCTGTGTGGTCATTTCTAGATATGGTGCCTTTAAGTATAAACACAATCTTAAGGGAAGTGTACCTTGTGGTATAAAGAAAATTATTCTACTCTTTGCACCAGGGGGCCACATGAACATGAATTCTTGACAAGTGTCTATTCTCTTTAAGCATAGTCACTCTAGAAACTTGAAGTGCATTGTCAAACTTCTTTAAAGCTTGGTGTGAAACTTAGATACTGCTGTGATCATGGCTAGCAGTTTTCCATGTATTTTAACAGATGATCAAGCTAACAGCCATAATAAAAATGAGGCAAAGAAACCCCATATATCTTAGTGCTTATAAAATAAAAGGCAGTCAGTTTTTCCAAGGATAAAGCTGCAAAGCTGTGGATCCTGGTGAGAAGAGACAATCCCCCTCAGTGTAGGCAAGTCTCTTTCTCAGAAGCCTTATGCTTCGAAAGGCAGAATTTGTCAAGTGACAGGATTTTTCCTCCCATCTGTAGGATTTTCTCCTGTCTGTAGTGGTCTGGTCCCTGTTTCCTGTAGCTCCTAAATGTCTCCACAGATAACAAGGTACCTTCTAATTTAATGCTACTTGTTTAAGTACTGGCCTGAATTCAGCCTGAGAATTTACAACATAAGAATCTGATTATCTCATCTCTGCTTTTCACATGAACAGAGTAGCCTGATGAGTGAGTGGATTTCTTTTCAGCCTCTCTAATCTGGACTGGCTTAATGAAATGTGCAAAAGCCTGGTAAAAACCTTGCTCAGATCCAAGAAGGTTCTGTGGTTGATAATTGCTTGTCTCCCAATTATCTGTCCAAATGAAAATTCAGGCACCCCTTCAAGTACAGCAATTTGAATGCTATCCAGACACAATAGGAGATAATAAAATTTTTCTTGAGGCAAGAAATACAGGGATTTGTTCAGTAGTTGCTCTATTAGGTAAGTGCCATCTTGGAGTTGGTTTTTACTTCTAGTAAAATATGGTGTCACTTCTGGAGAAAAATTCTACGTTCTAGCATAGTCTTGTACATAGAATGAAGATTTACAAGATAAAGAGCAAACAAGGCTTTGTGATTAAAACAAGCATTACTAAAACATGTATGGAAAAGAAAAAAGATTCGTTGCATTAAAGAGCAAGTGGAATGCTGGCAGGGCTGGACCTAGATTTTTTGACTTTTTCAGGCTCCTCTAAACACTCATTGTCTTTTTGTTTTAAAGAAATATCTTTCTAATCTGCCAAATATTTTATATAACTCAGAACAGCTTGAATTAAACCTGCTCTCGAGAGAGCTGCAAAGAAGAACTGATTTAGTCTGCACAGTACAATAAAGCGCTTTATTTATTATTATTTTTTTCTTCTATCGTAGGCTAATGTCTCAAATGAGCACTGGCCATCCTTGGTTCAGGAGGCAACAACTGAAGCTTTGAAACTTTCCTCTTGTCCCCTGGCAGCTCTCCTACAAGCACTGCTACAATATAATCGCAAAATGGGAGCAAGGTATGCATGATCTGTTATGTTTAAATGGAACACACTGTCTAAAAGCACAGACAGTCATTATCCCCATATCTAGCTCCAAGAACTAAAAGAAAATTGAAAACAGGAATTAGTTCTTGAAGTTGTTAAAGTAAGGGAGGAGTGAGTAGTGTGGGGAGCAGGAAGCATTAGGATCTTCCTCCTTTTCTCAAAAAAACCCAAGTGTATGACCTTCATACTAAGAAAAAAACAGTGGTAAGACAACTCTTATTTTAAGAGCATGTTACCTAAATAAATTAATCAGGAGGTCTATACATTCTCAAAGGTCTGGTTAAGTAGCACATTGGAAACGGATATCACTACCCTATCTACTGCTGAGATTAATTTTGATCCTAAATTGGCCTTATAGTCCAAAGCTTGTGTTCATTCCCGAACAACCATGTGCTCATCGTGGCTTTTTGAGGAAGAGGAGGAAAACTGAGGGGAGAGCTTGGAAGCCTTCCACTTTTGAGACAGACTGGGTTGTTTTCTATGTGGACTTTTGTGGAGGGTAACAGGCAGACCAACGCGATTGTGATGGTTGATGATAATAACAAAATTGGGCTGAAAACTTATTTAAACAATTAAAATAAGTCTTATTACAGTTTCAGATATTAACTTATGTGAACAGTAAGGTATATCACAAGATCTAGTTGATCTGCGTAGGTGTTCCAAAATCCTGGAACAGAAATTAACTTTAAGAACAAATAACCTTAAGTACAAATAACAAAAAAACAGATGCAACCTCTCAACAGCCTGTGTTAAATCACAGTGTACTGGGAAATCACATTGGTTATAAAAGGACAGAATTCTTAAAATGAAAGCCAAAGCTGATGGAGCATCAGTGAATGAATATGGTAATCCCTAAACTTAATTGCTAGTTTTTACCTCATTTCTAATGACACAGTGAATTTGAAACTATCTTGGTTAGGTATAAGCTGGCAGTGTTGGAAGGTAGTGTCAACCAAATAGAATTTTAGACTTTGTGTAGTAGTCTATTCCAATTTTTTTCTCTGCAATTTTGTATCTTGCCTCTATGTTTGCAGGAACTGCAGTACTTTTTGTGAGTGCCTGGATTAAATATATTTGTGTATAATATGATATTATATTTGGATTATTAAAACCTGTTGTAGTACCTGCTTCTCTCAGGTGCACTGTCTTCCAAGAGACTTATTTCATAGCTGTTGAACAGAATACCTGCAATATTTGCTCAGCAGATCACATACTGAAATCAGAGATTGTGCTGAGTTCACTGATAGCAAGATGTTTATCATGTTATTGTAGCATTCATAAAATCTCCTGTGTCAATCTAATTTGCATTACATGCTAGTTAAAACACTAACTTAAGTGTAATATATTAAGCATAACAATGGTTGCAGTATTCCTTAGCATTCTAAATGCAACTACATAGGAAACAAAACAATGTACAGCTCTGCTCTCTCACTTCCTTGGATGGTAGAAGGACCTTCCATTATATTATTCCTGGTCACTGTTGCTTGCTCTGGGATACTGGTATGTTATGTGTAACCTAGTCCGTGGTGATTTGATTTAGTTTATGTTTTGGTTTTGGTTCTAGGGAGACTCGTCGAATGTTGGAGAGACTGGTTTATCAGCCTGGGAATCCGGAAACCATAGTGTCAGTGGCACGCTGGTACCTCCTGCAACATCTGTATGCCAAAGATGATCAAGAATTAATAGATGTAAGTCAGTCCATTTCACCTAGAAATTCAGTCTATTTACATTGAATATTGTGCTCACAACTTGGAAGTGGGGTAGAGGGAAGCAGGCTGGTTTGCCTTCTCTGGAGACTGCAATGTTTAAGGATTCCATACTGACAAAACATACCTTAATTTTCAAACTGCAACCCATTTGTTTGAAAGTCTTCCAATCCTCCATGCAATACTAATGAAAAACAAACAGTGAAATCTCTAATCTGGCAAAAATTCTACTAGTGGCTCTTCAGTCAACACAACAACCTTTTTTTACAAGAATTTTACCAGAACACATTAAGGCACTAAAAATAGTAATTCCCTCAAGCCTGGATTGAAAAATGTGGTATCCTTATCTTAAAAAAACTGAACAGTGGAGTGCTGTACTTTCTGTACTTAAGATTTTTATTATATTTGTAATGGTGTATTGTTTTCAGCACATAGTTAATGGTTCATTAGTTTCTGTTGACAATACTTCACAAATGCATATATCTTTCATGTGATGGGGTGGTTCATTTTGGCTTGTAATTAGAATCACTTTGCTAATCAAACTCTTGTCCTCATCCTACTAATATCCTCGCTGCTGCCACTGGTACAGTGAGCTCTTTTGCCCAGATTAACAACAGTTCCCTGGTGAACCTATGAATCTGCAACAAAATACGTTTGGAGGGAGTAGGCTTAGAGTTCACAAAAATCAATATATACACACATGGGTTCATAAAAAAGCTAGAATTAATGAGTGCTTTTTGCTTCTGCAGAATCAGCTGTACTCCCGACCAATTAGTACAATAACAGTAATGGCTAGAGTAAAGATTTGCTTAATTCTACTTAGTGGTTTTCCTTTTTAATATGTATAAAGTGATTGGATTACAAGAGAAGTGCCACAAGCTTATGAACATTAGGCTGTTGTGGGAGCTTTTTTAATGAGTAGAAAAGTAGCGAATAGGGTGTGTGTAAAAATAAACCAAGGAAGGTTAAATCTAAAAGGGTGAGGCAGAAGGATGCTTTGGCAGTTTTAAGTAGCTGCAGAGAATGCTCCTGTTTGGCAAATTGAGATTTATACAGACAAAATCAAGAGCAAGTGTATAGCAAGAGGCAAGTATGTGTCTACAGGGAAATAGGTCTCATTTAAGTCTTCTCTTTTCATTGCCAGCAGGCAACTTACTTATCAAACTTGGTTTCAGCCTCAAGTAACAGATGATGCGGTTTTTGTGCATTGCAAGTGACAAGAGGTTTAGCAAGTCACTACGGGGCGGGGGGGTTTAAGCAAGCTGGTGTGTCATGTTGAGTATTTCGTATCTAAGCTTATGGGTTGCTTAGTCTTTTAGGGAAACAGCATAGCAGAAATTAAAATGCATTTGAGATTAACAGTAAAATACAAACAGTAAAATTCTAAATTCTTCATTTTTCATTCTTTGTTTTTCTCTGCAGGTGCTTGTAGAAAATGCTAAAGCCAATGAAGATGTTAGAGCTCTGGAACTAAATGAGAAATTGTCAGCAAGTGCCTAGTATGGACTATATCGGTGAAAAATCTTCCATTCATGCAACTTAATAGTCAGTCTTCCAGGACCTAATGTTGTTTGGGGTTTCTTATATGTGTCGTTTTTGTTGGTTGTTTTTTTTTCCCGTTGCACCAACTGCAACTTTGTCTTTAGTTTCACTTTTTCTTGAACAAAAGTAGATTATTTTCCTGTTGACATGGGTCCCACCAGAAAAAAGACACTTTATTTGAAAGAAAAATCCTGAATTTTGCTTTTGGTTTTTTTCCTCACTGGAACTTGAGCACTATTCACAATGGAGAGTACTCGTTTGTATTTCTCCCTTTGCCACACACAGAAGTATAATATTAAATGCAAAGTTTTCTTGGCACAGTATCTTACTAGCTAAGTAGCAGCAAACTTTTCTTACAGATGTAAAACATTGAGAGATTTAAAATGCCTATATTCTTCTGATATACTTTGTTCTGCAGTTGAGACCCAAATCTATTTGGAACTTCATATATAGTGGCAGTTCATACTTTTTTAAATACGCACATATATATATATTTAGTTAATCTTTAGCAGTGTATCCTCTTGACTGCTGCCTTCAGTAAACATTCCCATCAAGAAAAGCTTGTGATCATCAGGGACAGGGTCATATTTACGAGCGTGTATAACAGATTCTGTTTATGTTTTGGTAATTCTGCTGCTGACTGCTTAATTGGATGGATGATGCCAGTGGTTCTTCAGACATGATGTTATTTTGCCTTTACGTACATGAAAATAAAAGAAATAAAGCAATGACTCTCATCTGTTAATGTTGCCATCAAGTTTTTGAAGCTGTTGATCACGGTAGCTGTCCATGCACTCCCTTATCATAGAGACGAAGGGGTGCTTCCAAGGTGAGCAATGGGATTGCGTTGAACATACACTCACTTGGTCTTGGAACCAGTTGTATAGGGCATAAAGAAAGAAGGCTGCCAGGCTCGGGTGTGTGGGGTGTGCATCTCTGTGACAATCCATGCACAGGGATCACTGTGAAGTGGGTGAGAGACACAAGTGTGACACTGCCATTTTGAAGAGGAACTGACTGGGGTTTCTCCTCTGTGGAGGTGAGTAAAAACCTCTCTGAATGGCAAGAATCCCTCCTTGTCTCCCACACTTTCTCAGTTCTCCCACCTATGTCAGTGCAAATTACCTTCCTTAAAAAGATTATTTTCTTGTTAAATTTAGGTCAATTTTGGTTCCTTTGACAGCCTGCTGTCACATACTCTTGAACTATCAGTAACTGCAGATGCTAAAAGGGAACACTGCAAAAGCCAGACTCGTGACTGAAGACTAGCTGTAACTTTTTTTAGCTTGCTGCTATTAAAAGCCTGGTAAAGTTCTTACAGCCTGTAGTTCATATCCTTGCCATATGGTCTTGAAATTTGTGCCTCCTACTGCAGTGGTGGGAGAGCCACCATCGCTAGCCTGATGACAGCGTGCTAAGCGGCTGCCTGCCCTTGTTAATGCAATAGGCAGAAGTGTTTCTGCATGAGTATTAGCCCATGCCTTTGTTCAGCATTAAGCCTTAAATGCTTTATAAGAGCTAGGAGAACAGGCAAATAACAGGCCTGAGAAACCAGCAAAGTAACTACCTACTGTGAATATTCTCTATTAGGAAATAAAATACTGCAATGTTTTTCTTCTTCAGAAGACCATGAAGTTACTTTCATTGTGATCAGTGGTGAAATCCTCAAACAAGATAATTACATAGCCCAAAGTTCTATTACATGCCCTGTAGGAAAAAACCAACATTTATCTCTACTCAATGAAAAGTGCTCAGGGAACACGAGTTTAAATTTCAAGCTTCTGTAAAATCCAACAATATGAGGTAAAAATCTTGCTCTCCTCATTTTTTAACGATGCATAGCCTCTACAAAATCTGCACTTTGTAGAAGGTCTGCTGTAACACTGAGACAACATTTTGATTCGTGCAGATTGAAGCAGCCCTGTATTTTGCACGGCTGTAGAGCTCAGATTTAGAACGCTGCACAAAGGTAACATAAGCATCACTGAGTTGGGGAGCAGGGAGTTGTTTATGAATTTCACTGCCTGGGAAGTTACATGTTCAGCTGCTATGACTGCAAAGGCGGGGGGGGGTGAAACATTCCCCAACTGTAATTTGTTTTATGTCGGCTTATGCTGAAGGCAGAATGGAATTAGATCTAATGAATTTCAAGGTAGACATTTTTGCTACTTCAGACATGAAGGACTTCATATGCTACTTTAATTTACTTCTATACAAACATGAGACAATGGTTTACTTATGAGTATTTTTGTTAATTTTTTTGGGGTCATGCATGTTCATCTTCTTTTCTGTATTTCCTAAGAATTGCTGGATTTTACCCAATTTTTGAGCTTCTCAAAGTGGTATGAAGTACAATGAGTAATTGTATTAATTCAGATAATCTTCCTAACCTTAGAGTTTTACAGAAACACAGGTGTATACTTTCTCACCAGTACTTTTGTTTGACACCTTTTATATTTTTGAAAATATATTAATTCACAGATATAAAATCCATGAGAACTGTTTTTATGCTGCACAAATGCACTGTTGAAAGGGAAAACACATCCCTAATCCAGCAGCCTGGATGTCTAGAGTTTAGCTTTCCTTCTTTCCCAATTAATTTGCTTCCTTTTGGTTTGACTGAACATCTGATAGTTAAATGACTATTAAATATAGCGTTCTCAAGGGTGACAAGGATTGAGTTTGGTTGCAGTGTGGAGTGATAAATACTGAGATAATGCCTTCATGCTGAGAAGTCACTCAAACAATGTTGCTACATTCCAAATATATATATATTCGTGTGCGATCTGAATTCATAATTAGGCACTCAGATCTTTCTGGTATAATCATACAAAGCAACGTTCTTATCTGAAGCAACATCTGGGTGTGCCGAACTGCCAAAAAACATTCAGCAATACTCTGAAGGTTGTCCTGGATTGCTTTTAGAAACACATTCATCAATAACCTTGTATTTCACTTTTTTGCTGTTCCTCAGTATACGGAGAGCAGGAGCAACCAGGGTGCTTGGTAGGGAGGCATATAGACCATGCCACTAACTGCTGCTTCCCTGGCAGCAAAGTAAATGGGCAAAAAATGGTAGGAGTGCCTAAACGGAGCTAGGGAATGGCAGTCTGGGAGGCTGCACTCAACCCCAAATGTCTTGCCATGATGGTACTAATGGACCTTAAGTCTACAGTGAAGGCAGAGCCCCCTGTAATGGACAGAACATACAGGGAGACTAAAATACAGATTTGGCATAGCTCAGAAACTGCTGCTTGTTGTTGGGATTTCAGTGTTGCTGGTTTCTTGTAGCTGGTGGAAAGCGTGGCAAACACAGGCCTGACTGACAGCAGACAAGAGGCTGAGGTTAAAGCAAGACACCCATGCAGTTCAGCTCCAAAGAGCCTAGCCACCAATAGAGTGCAGGAAGGTCCTCTGTGAAACCTGGTGGCTGCCCTTTTGTCTTCTACAAAACCTGAGCAAGTTCTTGCACTTCTTACTCACTAGGGAAAGCTGAAACAACGAAGTTTCTGGCTGCAGGAGCAGCATGATTCATTGCTGAAGTGGCATTCCCTACTGACTGCGTCAGTTCAATTTCAGCCGTTGTGCTATGCAAGTCTGGCTCCTCAGAGAAGCCACCTGCAATCCATGGCTGGAGAAACCTGCTTTGCTGTGGAGCATGAAGCACAGGAGACTTGAGATACCGATTACTGGAAGAGGATTAGCTGAGTCCTCTTGGATTTTCTTGTCTGGGCAATGGATGGCATTGGGCTTTCTGGAAACAAATGTACAGTAGAAATTCATGTTTGTAGTGCAATTGCGCCGTGACCACTATTCTGGCCTCCCTGCTAAAGAACTCCTATTAGCTTCCATTGGGAAGTTACAGTGGTATGTTTCTTTTGCCCTACTCTCAGAGTTTTCCTCCTTATTTCCAGAAGTTTTTTCTTGTTATTTGAAGCAAAACAAATCCCACAATGTCAGTTACATTTCTGAGTGTTCTACTACAAACCACCACTAGCTTTTATTCAAACAGAGAAAATGAGAAAGAAACCTTTTTAATAATACATATGCTAATAATTAACATGCATTTTGTCACCTATGCACAATTTATTGGCTACTTTTAATGATTCAGTAAATTACTATAGGAGGTCCAAATCATGCATCAGTAAATGGTCTGATACCAGTTTTGATAATGCTGTGTGGAGCTGGACAAATTTACTAGGCCTGATTTAAATCTTTACAGCAATCTAAAACTGATGCAGCTTACGGCAGGACTGGGCTAACCACGCTAAGTAAGTGAGTACTTATTTTCTTAAAGTCATTAAAATAATATGAATACTTTTTGTATTAAATGTCTAAAATTTGAAGTTAATCCTTAAAATTTAACCTCTCTTCTACATTTACAATTCTGTTGTAAAATTGGCATGAAAATGACTGTTGAGGAGCTACATATATATGTATATGTATCAGAGCTATTATTATAGGCTTGCTCATGGTGTTCAGTCTTCCAGGTCACTTCCGTTGTACCTTTTTCATGTCTTTATGAATTTTCTTTTTTTCAAGTTTCAGCTTTGTGTTGTGTATTTGTCTGAGCAGCTCCAGAGACTCATGAATGGATTGAAATCCTGGTAGAAGAATAGGAACAATTAATTTAATAGTGGTTGCTTTAACCACATTTAAAGATTCTTTCCTTTGCAAAGGTTTCTTACACACGTTTAACACAGAGCACATTAAATCCACTCTATTTCATCATTTTACTGAATACCATAGACACGCATTAGCAGCTTGGGTTCCAAGTTCCTTGCTCTAGGAAGGGTACTTTTCAATACATTGGATAATGCCAAGCATGATTATGCATAGCAGTAGACTGCATTTGACATCAGATTTGTGGTGTGGAGAAAAGAAAATACTGTCTGTCTTTAAAACCAATACTATTGCCAGCTTTCGAAGTGCCTTTTTTTTTTCTCCATTAAGCTTTGGAGTTTTTTTGTTTGGTTTGAGGGTTTTTTAAGCATTTTTTTAATTGGTGTGTAGAAGGAGAGAGGTGGTGATGTGCACACACGCTTCTTTTGCAAAACACAGCTACAGAGCACCTGATGCACCTTTTTTTAGACCAGTGTTCCATCAAATATTGTCAATAAAGCCTGTAAAAGCAGAATGTAAGCTGCTGTTACCTAGCTGTTTCCAGACTGCAGTAACTTTCAAATTGCAGCATAGTAGTTACTTACATTTATTTAGTGTGTCATGTAGGTGCTAACTTATTAGCCAGCAAGCAGCCTAACAGTGGATTAAAATTAATTCTCTTCCCTTTTTGTTTTTCTTACAGCACTTATTGTAACATGGTAGTTGATGACATGTTTTTCTTTACAGTTCCTTAATATGGATTAATTTTATCTGAATAGCATTCAACCAAATTGCTGCATAGCACCTAGAATTTTATAAATTCCAAACCTGTGTCTGATCTCTAAGAAGCCAACCTGTACACTAACAGCTACTGAGAGAGCCTAGTGGCTGCCTCTGTGCCCTTCACGATGCTCCACAACCCTCTTCTCCCCGTTTCAAGTGGCCTCTTTTCCCCTTTTCAAGGGGTCAGCCCCTGCTATAGAGGACTGTCGTAGGAAAGAGCAGTCCTTGGACCTGAGTTTCAATACAAGCATGGCCAAGGTATGATATAAACAGATCTCTCCTGCCCTTAATTTCTGCAGGTAGGAATTTGAAGTTAAGCACTATCTCCTTTCCTCACCAGAATCCTTTATTCCTAATTTTCTTAGCCACAGCTTTCTCTGAGACATTGTCTGGTGCTCACTCAGATGGTCTGGTAGCCAGCCGAGCCTCCCCTTTGTGTCAGGCTGAACCAAGACCTTAGCTAATTTACAGCTTGGATTGCTGCAGCTTTGGAGCAGGGTTTTTACGTGGGTTGAAGATGATGAAGGAATTGAAGTAAAGAGTCCTTTATCAGAGCCAGCTTGGGAGATGAGAACCAGATGCTTGAGTTTCAAGTGGGAACATGTAAGATGTGAAGCCCTTGTGTAATGAATTTCAACCATCTCTTCCCTTGGAGAGAGGGCTGAGTGATTTTTTTTTCTGGATAAGCTGATGTGTCCACTGTGTTTCCATGATCAGCTGCAAATGGGGGATATAGGTTAGGTTTGAGTGACAGAGGACGGATTACAGTGAGCAAAAGTCCTCCTTGAGAAGACCCTATGCTTAGTGCCAGGTGAAATCCTTTCTAATTGCTATTGGAAGTTGATCGTCTGACTGGTAAAGTAGTTCATGCTCTGAGACAGATTTCGGTGACTGTTCCTGTAAGAAGCAGCTTCTGAATGTTAGTCGGAAGCCATGTTATCTGGCTGCTTCCCTATCTGCTTGCACGAAGTATGGTCTCTGTCAGCTATAACTCATCTAGGCTCCTTTTTTTTTCCAACTACTGTTGGTTGAGAATGGAGAGTACAGGATGGACATGATACAAAGCCATCATACAGGATCTCAGCAGCAGGATCTGTGCAAAAGGGAATGAATTCAGTCTTCCAACAAAGGTTAGGGACTTTGCTAATGGAAGAAATAGTTGCTGTAAAAAATTTGGAAAACAGGTTGTGAAACAGCCTTTTAAATGGTCTTACCTTGAGACTCTTAGGAAGAAGAAGCAACCTGTGTGCATATGTCATGCTGGCTGTTTGTAAAGACAAGTGGGCTAACCCACACACCTCTATGTTTGGGGTTTGGGAGAGACAAGTACTAATTTTAATGTCTTTCTGTCTTCACTGGAAAGTATCTTCTGGTGCAGCAAGTTACTGTAGAAATTTATTTTAAAAATAAGTTGTGTGAAAGCTTATCCTCACCTGATCTGTATTCATTTTGGGTTTCCTCAATCTCCTTCCAGATCTGTCTTTCAAATCTGGTTAGTTTTTCATGCAGTTTTTTTTTCATCACTTCTCATCTGGTTCAGCTGCTTTTCATACTTCTGTGGTTTATCCATTTGTTCTAGCTTTAGTGACAGAAATAGGAGCTTTTCCTCTACTCTTTTTTCTGCTCTTTCCTTTAAATACATAACACAGGTTTATAGTAATACACATTACCTGCCCCCACATTAACCTGCCTCCCACCAACAATGCATTCAGTCTTGCTTCGTAATCCCAGGCATGACAGCACTGAGTAAATGCGCGTGAGGCCTGGCATCCTATAGGATGTGTCAATCCTCTCTTCCCCAACAAACCAAATAAATCGGGAAATCTGGGCTGGACCAGGACAAAGTGCTTTCTAATAATTACTTTATTCATATAGTCAATTAAATCCAGTGATTTGTTGTCACATTTTGCAACCTGTTTCAGATCGCTTTCATGTGCCCATCTCCAGCCCAAGCTTTCTGAACTAAGGGGTGCAACACTATGGTGTAAACTCAGCTCAGCTGCTGGCATGAATAAGGAGGCTGAGCCCTGTAAAAGCCGCCAAACTGAGGTGCCCTCTCCCACTTGGAAGCTCAGCATAGCTGCCCACCCTTTCTTTGGTCTTCAAGTTGCACTGAGTCCTCTGGTCAACTCTAAATCTGATTGATATGGCCAAATTATTCCTAACTTCTGTAGCCCCTGCACCCCAAGGGAGTCCTGTGGGCCCAAGGCAGTGGCTCTGCCTCCCAAGGAAGGTGTCTGCAAACCTGTCTGAACCTAAACACAGTTCACTGTGGTTGTGGAACACACTCTGAGTTTACAGACATTGCTGTGCTGGTGGCTGATGGAGCAAGTCAGCTCCAGGAATGACCATGATGCTGCTCTGCCCTCCCAGAAGCTCCATCACCATCATGTACCCCATCAGGTCCACCAGCTACATGAGGACTGCATGTTGTCCAGCATTTGTGCTGAGGTTTCCTTCAGCTGCCGGGGGACTGGGCTGTGCCTCCACTGAGAGGACACCCAGAGGATCACCATGCATACCTCTATGTATGTGTGCACATACATAGAAAAACAAATGCATTTCTTATTCAACCTATTTAAGTGCTTTTGAAATCTTTAACTCCTGTTAACTCTGTATTTTTTGGCACACCAGAGCCTTCACCCTTAGGAAAGAATAACCACATATATTGGTGTGTTTTCTGAAAAATAATCACAAAAACTATTAGTGGAGGAAGGGAATTCAAACTTTGAAGCTTTGAGATAGAAGCAGACAAGTCAGAAATGTTTTTAATATCTTCATTGCTGCAGTAACTGCTGGTTGCCTTGAGTACAAGAGATCACCATCAGGCAGAATAAATGGAGATTAAAGTTCAGGAGCGTTTGTAGTTCCAAAGAACTTCTGAATCTGGTCTTTGATCAGCAGCCTTCATCCTTGTGCTAAGACATGGTGATCATGTTTAGGTCACTTTTGAACTCTGAAGCTGCACACAGCAAAGAAGGAAAAGCTTTAAAAACTGTGAGGGAATTAATTAAAAGGCATTGGTCCTGTGCCAAGTGCTAACTGCTCCTGTGGAACCGAAACGAGCTGCATTTTAAGGTACTGACCACAAGATGGTGAGGGTTTGTCTATATTTAAAAGCAGGCAAAAGTTGCACAGATGATCTGAGCTTGCCAATGCATGAAGCTGGGTGGTGTTCAGTGGTGGCACTGATGCTCACCCTGAGGCTAGAAAAAGTCACGGTTGTCTACAGGAGGGTTGCACAGATGTGAATTGGTGCCGTGATCATAGAATCAGAGAATGGTTTGGGTTGGAGGGGACTTTAAAGATCATCAGGGACACCTTCCACTAGACCAGACTGCTCCAAGCCCTGTCCAGCCTGGCCTTGAACATTAGCAGGGATGAGGCAGCCACAGTCAGGGAAGACTTTATATCCCAGGATGCCCACAACACTGTGGGATCTCCATCCTCGGAAACAAAAATCTCTTGGGTGAGCTCTGGCCCTGACTTTGATGTTGGCTCTGTTTGAGTGAGGAGTTGAACCTTATGACTTCCAGATATCCCTTCCAAACCAAATTAATCCATGATTACATGATTTCCATAACTCACCATTTTGGCTGTCTGTGTCCTGAGGAACCTAGTTTTGTGTTAGATCTCGTGTCTTGTGTGCATGATTTGGTACCTGCTGGGATCAAGGTGATGGGAGCAGCGCTCCTCGCTCCCACTCCTGGCAGGGCTGCAAACCACCCTGTGCCACCCACTTGGAAACTCTTATCAGTCTCTCCTTCACCGAGTCAAGCAGCTGATGCCTCTGCTGGGCTTGACCTTCTTCAGATCGTGCCAACTGTGCTTCTGTCCACTTCCGATGAGTCTGTATCTGATCTCTGAAGTCACTTAGAACACTTGCCAACCTAAAATGATGGTTATTTCTTTAGTAAAAAGACTAAGGCTTAGTCAACATGATGGAGGAATCTTGACTCACTTAATTCTTTAAATCTTCTCAGTAACTTCCTAACAAGCCCTAAGCTCAATTATTTTCTTAACCCTTACTATGAAGGTTGTACCTACAAGCCAAAATGTGATTTCTGTACTGTGGTCTACTTTAGGAAAATATCTGAGGGCTGAAAAATATTAATTTCCATTTGAATTAACTCTGAAGTGGATGAAGAAGCTACACTATTCTATTGAATGTCAACTGTGTTGCTGGGCATTGGGGAGAGCAGCAAAATCATTTGTGGTCTGAAAATGAAGTTAATAAGGATAAAAAAAGCTTCTAATTAAACTAGGACCTGTTGGCAATTGAATTAACTTTGTGCAGCTGAATGCAGCTATTCCAGCCTAACTGACCCCAGGAGATAAGCATCTGCTTCCCTCTGAAGGGCCAAATTTCTGAGCAAGGCACAATTCCCATGAGATCTTGAAATATGTTTACAATTAATCTGGTTTTCAGTAACAATATTAGTTCTTATATTTACAATGAAACTGCCAAACTGCTGTCAAAGATGATTGGGTTGCAGACAGCTGCATGTCAGCAGAAGAGGTAACTCTGGGTTTTAAAGCTCATTTAAACATGCCAAGTTTTATGCAGAAGCTACAGTCTGTTCTGGAAGTTAAATTTTATTTAAGCTCTATAAAAAGAATATATAAATCTGGTAGACTTTCAGAGGAGCAATATAAAAGGAGACAGACACTCCCCAAAGGGCATGCTATTTTAATTAAGTTTTATATTAACTAGAATAAAATCTCAACATTTAGTAAATAAATATTTTCGATTTTAGGTTAAATACACAATGCCACCACATCTCATTGTCTCAAAAACCTCCTCTTTTTAAGCTTCTTATTTCTGATGACAATTTCAACAAGGTCTCATTAGCTTTTGAGGAACTCAGCATTTACTTCAGTTCTACAATATCTTTCTTTTTTGTCATTGTTCCATTTTTCCTTCTTTCTTATTTTGGTTTCATATCTTGTCCCTTTCACACCATCTTGATCTCCACCATCCACTGTTCTCTGTCTCCCTGTTTCTCCTTCCCTTTTCCCAGTTTTGATTCATTGCCCACTTTACCAGTTATTTTCCCATTCACCCCAATCTCTTTTTCTGTTTTCTTGAGGAGAATTTCCTTCTGCTTTAAATTCTAGCCTATTTAATGTAATTCAGATAAAATCTTAATTAAAATAAATCTTTATTCAAATACTTCACCATTTTAAGGAGTGGAACTATTGCATTTCAAATATCATTACTGCAGGATAATTATAATTAGATTTTAAAATATTTGTGCTGTCTCTGCTATTCAGTGCTGGGCTGTTTTGCAGGGTTCTGAACATGGATGCCAGACACTTCTGTTCATTGTATCCTTCCCTGGAGTTCCCTCCTCTCTAAAACTCATCAAGATTACAATGGCACCCTAAAAATACTTCTAGAATAGGAAAAATATGCTAGGTAAGTAAGAAATAAAACACAAATCTATGGGCACATGAGCCTGTATAGCTGCTTTAACCCTGTGCCCACCTTTCTTCATTAGTAGCACCCCTGCCCTGGACAGCTGTCTGAGCGCAAGTGAACATCTTTGCATATTAGGCAAGTCACAAATTAGACCCAATTATAACGGTAAACAGTGTCTTCGTATTTGGTATCATCTTTCTTTAAGTATGGGAAGTTGGTTTCATATCGTTCTTCTTACAGGGTGTCATTTAGTGCCTCATTTCAAAAATTAGCTTGCAAGACAATATATTATCATTATGTATTTTCATTATTTTATGGCATAGATCTTCATTAGTCTTCTTTTAGTGTTTTGAGGTGTTGAGTGGGTATTAATTAAAGGGTTTGTTTTACAGTTTCATGGCAACCTGTTCATCACACTAACACATTCAGGGTGAATTATCATAATGAAAAACCCTCTACCACCTACTTGAAATCCAGAAGTTGCAATTTGTGATGTTGATCTCCCTGGACTGTCTTTAAATTTGAGCTTTGATCAGAGTTGGAAGTCTCTATCTTCCCTAATAGCTGCATTACCTAATGAGAATTCAACAGAAAGCCTTTATGAGCCAGACTACGAGCACTGACATTTAAATATGCATTAAGATTGCAAGCATGGAAAAAACAGGCAACATCCAGGCACAGCTGCATAAACCCAAACTTTTCTCACCATTTCATTCAGTAAAAATTGAAGACCTGAGCTCAGAGTCACCAAGGCTGTATGACCTGCTGAAGTCAAAGTCTGTGGATGCAGGTTTTGCAATTACATGCACAGGTAAGCAATGCTGTTGAAATTTGGACAGAGGCACCACTCAAACCTCCCCAGTGGTGGCAAAAAACACGGGATAAACCCTGAGAAGCACATGCGTTTTGCAAAGCTTTAGTCTGTCCAACACCTAACAGGATGCCAAGAAGAGTGAAGAGAGGAGAGGCTCACCGCAATAACAGATGCTTCAGTACTAAGATGGTACCTGGTGGACCACATTCAACACATCTTCCCCCTCCAGGGGAGGACATCTCCATGTCCAGGCTGGGGCATGCATCCCCAGCTCTGTGCAGCCCTGTGCTCTCTAGCCTGTGGGATATGCCAGGTATCTGATTCTCTCCCACATGATTTTGTGTCCTGCTTAATGTGACTGTGACACACGCACCAGCTCTCTTCCCTGGTTCCAGGTGAAAAAGAAAGATATTTCTTTTTCAAAGGTATTCAAGGAGACAGATGTCCAAGCAGTGTCTTTTGACAGAACTCCAGGTAAGATACCTTTTTTTAAATTCTATCATGAGTAATTTTTCCTTGGAAAGGAAGAACTTGGGTAGGCAAGATAGACACACAACAACTGGCACTGTGCTTTGTGCAGCAGAAAACACAGACAAAATACAATAGTGAGATTATATTCGACACCAGAGTGCATGAGAAATTGAATGTCCCATATTTGCTTAATCCTGGCAGACGACTGAGCGCACTGGGGAAACCCCCCTGCAGTCCTGCCTCCAGCTCTGGGGTAACAACACAAGAGGGACATGGAGCTGTTGGAGCAAGTCCAGAGGAGGCCATGGAGATGCTGCAAGGGCTAAAGCAGCTCTGCTCTGGAGACAGGCTGAGAGAGCTGGGCTGGTTCAGCCTGGAGAAGAGAAGGCTCCTTAAGGGGAGACACTAGAGCAGCTTCCAGTGCCTAAAAGGGACCACAGGAAACCTGGAGAGGGGCTTTGGACAAGGGCGTACGGCTTTAACCTGACAGAGGGGAGACTGAGATGAGATCTGAGGAAGTTCTTCCCTGTGAGGGTGGTGAGGTGCTGGCACAGGTTGCCCAGAGAAGCTGTGGCTGCCCCATCCCTGGCAGTGTTCAAGGCCAGACTGGACGGGGCTTGGAGCAACCTGGTCTAGTGGAAGGTGTCTGTGTCCATGGCAGGGGGTTGGAACTGGTTGAGCTTTAAGGTCCCTTCCAATGCAAACTATTTATTCATTCTATGATTCCACAGTGTCAAGGAAAACTTATCTTTTTATTAAAAATCCTGAAACACTGTTTAAATCCCATATCAGTCTTTAATATTGGTCAGCAATTATGAAAAGAAACTGTATCTGTATGTGCACAGCCACCACTTACCACGTATTTAAGTGTAGGCTTCTCTACTCACTTTTTTTTCGAAATCAGCAACACCATTTTTCAGGGTAGAGTGAAGGCCATAGATCTCTTTGTCAGTCTTTTGGGCCTCGTGCCTGATAATACTGATGTCTCCCGACAGCTTTGCAATGCTTGCCTCGCATCTGCACTCAAACAAGAGACAAGAGCCTTTGTCAGGGGATGCTGGAGGGTGGCTGGAGGCAGGTGCTAGTCCCTATGCATTGCTGCTGGACCAAATCCAGCCCACCAGGACCACTCTGGTAAGTGGCAAAATAGGTTCCCCTTTGCAACAACCCTGATCCCCAATCTGCTTCCAGATATTACTGTGCATTAAAATGCCGCTGGAAGTGATGTCAAGGAAGTGAGAGGCAGCCAGAGGCAGTGCCCTTCTGCAGCAGCCATTTGCTATCTAAACTACTGCTACTGGCTGTTTAAACAGTTGCACTCACCAAATTACCAAGTCACATTTGAAATGGACAAATGAATAATTTGAGAGTGGCAGCACTAACTGAATAACCCAGGGAATGAATAATATTCAACCAGCTAACCTTCCAGGTAGAGTGAATAACTGTTTCAGCCTGTCTTTCATGTGTATACACACACATAGGCACATTGTGTATGTACAGTATGTATGATACATGCACATATATTAAAAAATGCGTACTTTTAAAACATAAGCAGTAAGATTTTCTTCAGTATTTGTAAATATAAATATAACATTATACATATAATTAACAGAATCACAGGATCAGAAAAGGGTTAGGATTGGAAAGGGCCTTAAGATCATCTAGTTCCAAACCCCCTGCCATGGACAGGGCAGACTTCCCCTCCTGCCACCCTCCTTCCTGCTGTTGTCCCAGAAGTAACTGCCTGTTCCAGTGCCAGCAGTACAAGAGTGTGGAAAAAAATACCTTAAGGCCACAAAGTAGTGCACGATTTAATATAAATAACTGGATAGAAGCTGAGTGTGGAAAACAGCTAATTTTTAAAATGCCATAGAAATTATCCTCCAAAGCAGCACAACTGAATAGAGCTGGTGCTGTTGGCAGATAAAGGATCTAAAGAGAAATTTTGACAGTTTAAATAGAGAGCTTTTTGTCATCTCCTGGTGATGCTTAGATATTACGATACACCTACAGAGTGTGTAGATCAAGGAAATAAAAAGAAGTTACTGCAAATAATAAAGGCTTTGTAGAAAGGCCAGAACTGTGATCAAAAGAAACCACTGATTTGGAAAAACAAGTACAAAATAGCTGCCAAGGTGAACGTGGATGTGGAGAGAGAGCAGGCTGTTGTCACAGCTTCTCTGGCTACAGACTTAGGAGTCAACACAAGTGCTGGAGGGGAGAGGCTGCAGGGGGCCATGGTCCTAGGGGATGGAAAGTGCCTGTGGGGTGGGAATGTCGGGGAACACAGGCACAAATGAAACAAGGCTGCAGAGGCTGAATGCAAGGTCAGCGACTGACCAGGGGACTGGAGCTCACCATTCCCTTAGGAAAACCCCACCCCAAGACAGCACTAGCAAGGCTTTGCAAGAAGTGCACAGTGATAAAGGACTCATGGATCTGTAGCAGTAAGAAAACATACCTTCAGTTACAAGAGAAAGAAACCTGAATATTCTAATACGAGAATAATGAAAAATAAAGGATTTGAAGACAGGACCCCAAAAGTTCTAGAACTAGACTTGCAGCATGGGATTAATGCAACTAATTCTGCATTATGTGTCGCCTGAAGTGTTGGAGCCCTGCCTGAGGACCTGGCAGACATGGCAAGCTTCGCAAAGACTCTCAGCACAGTTGATGTGCCTTAAGTCTCTGGGCCTGCTCAGATCTCATTTTCCCAACAGATGATTTATATCATTGTTATGACAAAGTACTTAAATGAATTACTGTTGTTTGGCAGATTGAGTGCAGAAGAGAACAGGGATGCTTAGGAGTTGCTTAAATCTTGCTCTTATTTGATATTTCACTCAGGAGAGATTCACAGCTTGCAGTGAGATCATGGTTTTCCAATCATACAAAACAGATACTGGAGAGCATGCAAGAAGCAGTGCAGATGAACTGGGAAGGATGCAGAAAGCATTCTCCTAGATTTGCTTTTAAATTAAAAAGTATAAAGAAAGAAAATTCTCCAATGGTTATATCAAACCATTTAATTAGAGATGGGAATACAGCTGTATGTTCAAGGAACTTTATCCTACGACGTCATGGAAGGAACGGTACCTACTGGACTGCTGCGCTTGCCAATTGTCATTTATGAAGGGTCTAGTAACTTCACAGGTACACACCAGGGCTTTTTATTGTCTAAATCTATGTTGAACTTTTTCTCTGAACAACAAAAATGCTCGTAAGAAAAATAAGTACAGAAGTACAATGTAATCATCTGTGTAGAGTGCACTGTCCATTCATTTGTGCATTCATTTATTCTTTTGTCAGTGAGGCTGAAGGGAAGTGAATTAGTATTTATCAGAAGAGTGGCTTTTTTTACAGTTGATTACCTAATTCTTATTACTATAATACATATTCCCATGCCCAAAGGAAGTCTTAATAAGACCTAGAATACAAATAAAATATGAAGTTAATCCAGTGGGAATACTACTATAACTGAGATGCCAAAACATGTTTTTTTAAAAAAAGATCACTGCTACTTGGCACATAAATGTTTTACATGGTGTAGGAATGTAGGTCCAAGCATTAATGGACAACTACATCAGTAGCTGGCAAGAGATCTCCCTGATTCTGTTTTTCAGGGAAACAGAATAAGAGAATAGACAAAATCTGAATTTCAAGAGCTAATCCACATTAATCCTTTACACATGGCAGAATACAGGAGGATGAATCATCTGCTTTGAGAAAGAGCAGTGGCTTCGTTTCATCCCAGATAGCCTTGGATTAAGGTTAGCCTACAAATCAAAAAGAAAGCTGTCATAGCAAGTTTGCATTTGGAAATTTTCTATTAATGCAATAAATGTAAGTTATATGAACATTAGTCTCTCGTCACTCTGGGCTCTACTTAATACAAATAGCAATTTTAAATCCTGAAACGCAAGAGCAAAGAAAAGTGAAAAGTCAAAATATTAATCATCACTGTAATGTCAGTCCCCTGTCAGTTCTGGCTCACTCCTCCACCACAATGCTGGGGGCAGGTATGTCATTGACGCTTGGCATTTCCAGAGGGCAACTTCAGCAGCAAGAAAAACAAGAGAGTGCTGATGATTCATAACTCCCATAAAACTATACTACACTTTAGCTTAATGGGAACCATTGCATAAAACTGCATTACAATATAGCCAGAGCTGCTGCTAAAACACCACTCTCTAATTAATCAGTAGTTTCTAGTTAAGCTAGAAAACCTGTCATTTTCCTTTTCCTCACCTTAAAACTAAACAGGTTCTAAGGACTCAGTTTCCAGCATCATAAGATGATTACTTTGATGTCCTCATTATAGTTTTTATGTGCAATATGTGTTTTGGGTTCTTCCCTTCTTCCTGTGGGAAACCTCAACCAGCACACTGAAAAAATGGGCAAGGAAAGAAGGGGAAGAGGGACCTCATAAAAGTGTTGCCGTGGACCTCCAGGAGTGTTCAACCTCTTGCTTCTTCTTTTTCTTTCATTTTTAATTTTCACAAATAGAAGTGGACTGGTAGATTTTTCCCCCAGAATTATCCTGTTTCCCTGTTTTCCCTAAATGCTTTTGCTTTCCTCTGCTGCAGGCAAATGCTCAAGCACAGATGACGGGAGCAAACCCCTGTACAGCTGACAAAGGGAAGCATTCACACCTAGGAAATGACTGGGGAAAGAAGACTGAGATGCTTCACCAATGGAATGTTATGGCTTTTAAAAGCATATTATCTAGAGATTCTGCTGACCTGAATTTGAAAACAGAAGCAGAAGACTCTTGCAGAATCACCTCCTACTTTGTTCCAATGCTAATCAGCCACGAGGTTAAACCCCCCCCATCTTTTTCCTGCCAACTTTTAATGTGTTGGCTTTGTCTTCTTGTTTTGGATTCTTGGGTGTCTCTGCAGTAGTCTGGAGTCTTTCAGTATCCTGTGATTTTTTTTCTCTTTCTTTTCTAGTAGTTACACATGGAAATGAAGACATCTCTGGGTTTATTTTTTTTTTTTCCTATAAACTATACATAGATGTATACTTCTCTCAGCCAGAAATTTTCCTCATCCCACAACCACATTCCTGACTCTTTTTTACACCTTATCATGTCCTTGATTTCAGTAAGCGGACTCTAGGCTCAGCGCAGTATTCTGGTAGCAGTCTCTGTGCCATACACAGAGCTAAAACAACCTCCCTATTTACTGGTTCTCAGCTTCTCTCATCCAAGACCATATTCCTGGCATTTCTGATGCCACATCATTGTAAGAGCTCACATTAAGTTATTTACCTGATCTATTCCCCAAACTTTTCAGGGGACACTCAGTTGTGAAACAGTCTCTTGATGGGCTTATAAAGTACATTTTAATCTCAGTCAGGCCACATTACTATTATTTCTGGTTAGTGTCTGTTACCATCTTGTCCTTACTTGACCAGTTTTGTGTTACCCACAAATGTCATTAGCAGTGTTTTATATAAAGAGCATATGACTGGTCTCTGGAGGAAAGAAATGATTGGAAATATGCCAGTTCAGGGTGGTTTCTTCCTTAATGATTACCTTTCCCTATATATTAGTTCAGACAGTTCTTAATTCATGTGTTCTCTTGATATTACATAGCAGAATTTCAGTTTGTCTTTCTTTTAATCATAAAATCATGTGTTACAGAATGCCACATGGAAGTCCACCTATGATACATATGTGCAATTACTTGAACCAATGAAAACTTAAAATCCCACCAAAAGGAGAAATCAAGTTTGCTCAACAAGGCCTACTTTCCAAGAGAGGAAGTTTTATTGAAACAACAGGAGAGTTTAAGTAGGAGGAAATAACTACTTCAGCTGAAGTCTAGCCAGACTGGAGAAGAAAAAGGTCCGTAAATGTTAAGCGTGTGATGAAGAATGAGACAGGAAAATATAGTTATTTTTCCCTGGCTTGATAATGTTTCTAACATGGAGAGCATGAAAGCACAGATCTGGCACTAAAATGGAGATGTAAAATGAGTGTGAAGTACATTTATGCCCACTCTGAATCTGCTCTGCACCAACCAACTAGTGGAGATGAAAATCAGGGCCATGATGCATTCCTTACCTTGCCACTCTTCCACGCAGGTCCCCAAGACACTGACTGTATTTATGGTCCAGAGTTTGAACCACAAAATTAGTTTCTGCTGCAGAACCATCCCTTGTTCTGATTTCCTGCTCCAAAACCTGTAAATTCAAGACCATAAATGCACTTCTGGTTTTCTGCTTTTGGGTTTTTTGGTTTGTTGGGTTTGGTTGTTTTGTTTCTTTTTATTTAAAAATAAGGTTCAAAGCACCATTTATATCAGCAGATCCTGCTGTTAAAGCACATTATGGATACACCCACCAAAGTCTGAATAAAGATGTGGGTCAGTATACTGTCCTGGGTTCAGCTACAGCAGTCATTTTTTCTCCTTCTTAGTAGCTGGTGCTGTGCTGTGGTTTTGACTTTCAGTCTGGGAACAACACCGGTAACAACGATGTTTTTAGTTGTTGCTCAGTAATGTTTACTCTGACCAAGGACTTTCTCAGTCTCATGCTCTGCCAGGGAGGAGGGGAAGCCGGGAGGAAGCAGAGGCAGGACACCTGACCCAAACTGGCCAAAGGGGTATTCCATACCACAGCACATCATGCCCAGTATAGAAACTGGGGAGAGTTAGCTGGAAGGCCCAGATCGCTGCTCGGGTCGGGCTGGGTATCGGCCGGCAGGTGGTGAATGGTTGTGTCCTTTCCCCTTGTTATTCCTCTTATCATTATTATTGGTAGCAGTAGTGGTTTGTATTATACCTTAGTTACTGGAGAGCTGTTATCTCAACTCGTGGGAGTTACATTCCTCCGATTCTCCTCCCCATTTCTCCGGGAGCGGGGGGAGGAAGGAAGAGGAGGGGGAGTGAGCGAGCGGCTGCGTGGTTC